AATTATATAAAAGCAACCTCAATGGGCTGTATGTGGGCTTATGAATCAAGATATGAAACTTGAATATTTTTGAAGAAAATATTTGATTTTGCAATTTATGAATCAGATTATTGTGGTTTTGGAGAAGATGCCGGCGGTGAAATATTGTGGGTTAAGAAATCTGAGCAAGGACCGACATAAGGGTTTTTTTTTGTTTTTTGTTTTAATTTTAATAAAAGGATAAGGGTAATCCAAAAGTATAATTTTACTGCCTTAATCCAAATAATGAAAAAATTATGCTTTTCTTTTGTGTATTTCATTTTTTCATTTAAAAAAATTAAATAAATGACACAGAATCCTTTTCCTAGGTGTCAGTAGGAGGAAAACCAAAGTTTCTCACTCTGTGTTTTCTTTTAGATAGATTCCAACCATGTGAGTGAGATAAAAAAAATAGAACAGAAAAATATTATTGTATTCACTTCAAACATTTACGGATTTCACTAACAAATTTTTATTTAACAACTCTTTAATAAATCTACCGATCCCTCCATGAATGTCTAGACGTCCTATAATGACCTTTTTGTTGAAATTACTAGCGCCAACATTTTCATCCTTTTAGAAAAATCAATGAGAAAGTCAGTAAGTACCAAAATCCACATGTAATATCATTTCTAGAAAATCTTGATGATATTATGATTTAGTGATTATTTAATTTCATTTCTCATAAAAATATCGAATGTCATAGATTACATATATTTTATTTTTTTTACTTTTCGTCATAAGAAAATAAATATACTATCATGTACGTGCTCAATTGTATTAAAAAGATAACAAAAAAGTTGGAGGGTTTAAATATAACACTTAATCTAGTTGTCAAAAAAAATTGGAATTCACACTTTTAAACCAATTGGTTATGAACGAAAGGTCGAAGAATCTTATCCATGTAAAAGTAAATAAAATTTTATTTTCGTTAAAATTATTTCCATTGACTTTCTCGTCAACCTAGAAACTCCAACTAGAAGGCCGACAAACTCTAAAATCTGAAGTTTTTAATCTTTTTTAGAATTTTATGTGGAGTATTATTGTTTGGTAAGGTATTGCATTATCAAGGGGTGTTCACGGATTGGTTTAAACCGTTCAAACTGGCCAAACCGGTCTACGGTCCAAATTTGCATACATGGTTTCTAAATTTCATTTAAATCCGACAATATTGAAAACTATAAACTGACAGAAACAGCTTGGTCCTTGATTTTGGATTTTAAAACCAGTGTCCCATTTATATATTAAATATATTTTATATGTATTCGCATATATTATATAAACTCCAACTCTTATCTAAGTTTAGAGTGGTATAGTAATGTGGTGTGTTATTTAGTGTGTAGTGATCCAGGTTTTTTTTTTTTTTTCATATTGCAGGGTGTCACCGTCGGCAACTATGACTAATCCCCCTCACTTATGGTAGGTACCTCGATGAGTGAGAGAGCTGGATGAGAGAGCTGACAACAGTGACTAATCCAGGTTTGAGTCCCCTCCCACTCACTTTCTTCAATTTTTCCTTCTTTCTCTGAGAAAAAGGCCAATTCTTGGCCCAAATAGCTCCCAAGAAAAGGCCGATTCGTAAGCTAAATGGCTGGAAAATATAAAGGCCCAATTTAGGCCTAAACCCTCAAAATATCCAATCCAAAACATTCAATACGGTTCGAATTGGTTCGGTTTTTAGTATGTTAGCGGTCTAGTTTCAGTTTTTATTTTTTAAAACCATTCCATCGGTTTGGTTCATGGTTTGGCCCAAAAACCGGACCAATCAAGCTGTGAATGCCCATAGTATTATCACTATCAATCTAAAACTAACAAAGTGAGTCTTTTTTTATTTTAAAATATTTTTGCGTCTACTTTTTGTATGTTTAGGGAAATCAACGAGAATTCGACATAGGAAAAAATCAATTATTTTACACTATTTAATTCACAATACAAATTTAGATGTTACTAGTATTAAGTAGATAAATATTTATTTTTATTCATGTAAAGTTGATAAACATTTATTTTGTGTTGAAATTTGTTGCATCGACCAATCCGTCGACTTAGACAGAGCAACGAGAAAGCCAACAAACACCAAAATTCAAGTTTTTGAAACATTTTCACAATACTTTTAAGCTGTTATGTTTAGTAATAAATTAAAGTACTTTTTGTCATCTTAAAACTTACAAAATGATTCTTTTTTACAGTTGAACATTTTTAGTTCACTTTTTAGTGCAGTTAACAAAACCGACGATTTTTATGGTAGGAGAAAATCATTTTTTTTTATTTGCCCTATGTCACGAAATGATTATTCAATTTAAGATATTACTTTTCCTAACTATTAAAAGTCAAATCTTAAACTAGACAATCATTTCAGGATGATGAGAGTACCATTTTTATAACTTCTTGATTTCATTATTGTTTACTAGTTAACTCATTTGTTTTTATCCATGCAAAAGTTAATAAAAAGTTTTATTTTTATTGAAACTATTTCCATTGACTTTGCCCTCTAGTTAAGCAAGGCTACAAGAAAAACGATAACTCCAAAATTAATAGTTGTGAATCTTTTTTACACTTTTTTCTAGGTAATTATTATATGGTAATGAATTATCTTATCACTATAATGTAAAACAAAATGAATGAGTCTTTTTTATTTTAAATATGCATTGAGTTTTTTTTTTTTTTTTGCTAAAGAAAACCCACAAGAATTTTGATGAAGGAGAAAATTGTTTATTTTACTCTATTTTAATAACATGTAGATGTTACTAGTATTAAGAAGTTGACTTATTTGTTTTTATCCATGTAAGAGTTCATAAACATTTATGTTATGTTGAATACGTCGACAGATCCCTCAACTTAGGTAAACTGACACGAAACGCGACGAACATCAAAATTCAATATTTTGAATCATTTTCATATTTCTTTTAAGCTATATTGTTTAGTAATAAATTGAACTATTTCTATCATCTTAAAAATTACAAAATGATTCTTTTTGGTTGTTGAAGATTATTGAGTTTACTGTTTAGTCCACTTATTAAAACCCACGATTTTGTGGTACGATAAAATCAATTATTATTCTACTTTTTATAATTTTTTATTTTATTAGTGTTGTCTTTATCCTTTTACGATGGCTCAATATTGGGGTCTAGTTTGAATCATGTTCATGTTGGATTTAGTTGTAGCCCAGAATCATGAACATAATTTTTGTTCCAAATTGATAACATCTAACTCTAACCGTAAAATCTCCTCATCAATGTATGTTTTTATCCAATTAGAATGTGATTGTTCACTGTAGAAATGAATTTGCTATCTATCGGAATTGTCGTACATAATTTACCTTTCTACTAAAATTTTATAATTAGACGTGAAAGCTCTATGTTAAAAACTAAAATGTTGAGCAGCAACGGCTATAAAAGAAGCCAATATGATTGCAAGTAGATTAAATTGCGTAATAACTTGGATACGATCATTTTTTTTCTTCGAAACATGATATAATCACCTAAACTTATAAATAGTTAGATTCAAAAAAAAAAAAGAAGCAAAACTAGTCAAGTAAATTAAAAATCAAGCAAGGGAACATCCCGGTTTTTCTTTGAATAAAAGAAAAAAAAACCACCTGAATTATATAAAAGGGACCGGCATAAGGGTTATTGTTTTTTTTTAATAAAAGGATAAGGGTAATTCAAAAAGATAATTTTATTGTCCTTAATCCAAATTATGAAAAAATTATGCTTTTCTTTTGTGTATTTTCATTTTTTTATTTTAAAAATGAAATAAATGACACAAAATCTTTTTCCGATGTGTCAGTGAGATAAAAAAGAAAAAATAAAAATAAAAATTAAATCTTTTTCCCAGAGTTTTCGTCTCTCTAGTTTTCTTTTAGATAGATTCCAACCACGTGAGAGAGATAAAAAAGAAAAAATAAAAATATTATTGTATTCACTTCAAACATGCATGGATTTCACTAATAAATTTTTATTTAACAACTCTTCAATAAATCTATCGATTCTAGACGTCCTGTATTGACATTTCCCAGTTTCAATACATAGATAATGAAGAAAAAATACAAATGAAAGGACTTCTTCTTTTCCGTAAGTGTTATTAATTTATTATATCTATTTTTTCTTCAAAACGGGATTAATCACCTAAATTTGTAAATTGTCAGATTCAAAAAAAGTAAAACTAGTAAAGGAAAAGAACTTCTCGGTTGTTTTTCGAAAGTTTGAATAAAAAAAACCACTTCGACTATATAAAAGCAACCTCAACAGGCTGTATGTATGCTTATGAATCAAGATTTGGAACTTGGATATTTTGAGGAAAATCAATTGATTTTGCAATTTATGAATTAGATTGTTGTGGTTTTGGAGAAGATGCCGGCGGTGGAATATCCCGGGTAAAGAAATCTGAGCAAGGACCGGCATAAGGGTTTTTTTTAATTTTAATCTTAATAAAAGGATAAAGGTAATCCAAAAGTATAATTTTACTGCCTTAATCCAAATAATGAAAAAGTTATGCTTTTCTTTTGTGTATTTCATTTTTTCATTTTAAAAAAAAAATCTAATAAATGACACAGAATCTTTTTCCTAGTTGTCAGTATAGGAGGAAAACCAGAGTTTCTCTCTCTAAGTTTTCTTTTAGATAAATTCCAACCAGATAAGTGAGATAAAAAAATAGAGCAGAAAAATATTACTGTATTCAATTCAAACATTCACGGATTTCACTGACAAATTTTTATTTAACAACTCTTCAATAAATCTACCGATCCCTCCATGAATGTCTAGACGTCCTGTAATGACCTTTCCCATTTTCAATACATAGATAATGAAGCTAAAAATACAAATGAAAGGGCTTTCCCGTACGTGTTATTTATTTGTTATATCTATTGTACTAAAAGACTAAAAGTACAGTGATTAAAATTTATAAAAACAAATTATTTAAAACAACAAGGAATAACTATAACATACATTTAGAAAAAGGTACACATAATACAATTTACAGACAAATTACTGAAGATCATCAATCTGATTAGGATGCACGGGTGCAAGTTGAGACAAGAACAGCTCAAGAAGCGCTCCTTCTCTATGTTGTCCACCGGGAAACGTATCACTTCCTGACCCCCAATAACCAAAAATAAAATAAAATCAGTGACAACAGAACTACTGTAATCTTCACGTAGATATGTTTACAACTTTACATACATCATCGAAACTTCGGTTTATTCTTAGGGGTCCGTCTTATAAAAATCGTTCACTTTGTTCAGACTAACTTATGGTTATTATAACTTTTAATGAAGGGAGGACAGAAGAAGGACAAAAGGAAAAAATCATCAAGTGAATGGAATAATTGAACCTGTGGGATATGGTACAACTGGAGGAGCCCAAGGGGAAGGATTAACGTCAAGATTGATTTGTCCGAATTCGGGACGATGAAGTTGTGGGTCATCCTCGATCCGGCTGTTTGGACTGTTAACATGAGGCTGATGATGATGATGCATGTCTGTTTGTGTGCTACTTGGAAGAGTTAAAGATGCTGCTGCTGTTGCGGCTGATGGCAACATATTCACCATTCCTTGTGTTTGGCCATCATCTCTACACAAAATATTACCAAAACACACATTTATATGCATTTTTAAACAATGCACACAGTCACACAGTAAGTAACATTTCTGACTTAAGGTATATATCCAACCTTAGGGGAAGAAGCTCTGCATGATCCAAGAAATTAAGCCCTGCTGCTGGAGCCGGGATTTGATGATGATGATGGTCGCTTTGCGACAGCCAATCTACGAGGGTGTTGTTTGGGGTTGTTATGGTGAACCCATTTACATTTTGGTGAGCTAAATTCACCTGGGCAACATCCATATATGCATGATTTGAATCCACAATTTTGTTTCGCCAATGAATAAAATTACGCACTAATGTAGTATAGTATTAGTATTACATAAGATGCCTTGGTTTTCAATGTTGCATGAAGATAATCTACAGTGACTTGGAACATAAGGATTTTGTCTATATATATACCTGTGATGTTTGTTGATGTTGGGTGGTACTATAACTCTCCTCCAAAATTTGCTGTTGCATATTGATCAAAATACACAATATTTTCATTAGCTCATCACTTGCAGTTGTATTTAAGTTAAAAACAAGCCAATTTGATCTAACTATTTATACATCTATCAAATATTTACCTTCCGTGTTCTAACCTGCTTAAGTGTTTCCTCGAGAACTTGTTCCCTATACTCAGCCTCACAAACTGTATCTATTTCCCAAGGGTCACCTTCATACATTCTGATGAACATTAACAGGGGAAAAAGACATATCATACGTTTAGTGGCGTTTTCGCCGGTTGGTTTTAATGGTAACGAACATTGGTTTAGTACGTAGTTGAAGTAAGTAGTTCCTTACCGAAGTCGTTTCTCCATATCTTCTATTTGGGACTTGCATCTCATAATTTCTTGCTGAATCACCTGAAAAATGAAATCCATCCAGTTCCATCTCAAATCATATATTACACCATGAAGATGGACATAGATATATAATCCAATAGCTTTGTAGTAATGGTTGACCACGCAACTATATCATTCCAAAAGCTCCTTATATTACCTCCACTTGAGAATCAACGCTTACTGGGCTGCTTAGTTAAGAGGAAAAGAAAGCATAAACCAATTTGAAATGTGAGAAACGAACAAAAAAAACACCAATTTCAAAGGAGCAAAATAAGAACATAAACCCATTTGTACTAGTTACCTGACATCTTTGTTAATTCTATCCGCCTCAGATTTCAACTTGCCTAGTGCTTTTTGTAGATACTGAGAAAAAAACCCTGAATTTATGAGATTCCATTTATTTGGAAAAACATACAAATATAGTTCATAAGTACATGTGATTGAAATTAACCTCTTGTTTATGAAGCCTAGAGAATGGCATCGTGGCAAATGAAAATCCCGCATCAAGAAGAGAGAAAAAAAAAATCAAATTAAGAAAGAACAATTTAAGAAAAAATAATCTCAGTAAGATTCATAAAGAACTGATGAAGAAAAAACTTACCTTCCTCGCTCGTGCTCGGGAAGATTCACATATCTTGCCATCACATCCTCAATGCTTCCACAAAATTCAAACCAAATAGAACAAAAGGTTAGAATTTCAAAGATGTTCATCTTGGATTAAAGATTTCTTGACAGTAAACAAACACAAAGGAAATAGAAGATCAAATTAAGACAAAAAAAGATTGAGTCTTTGGCTAATTTTAGCTCCGTTTTGGACCATGTGTCTAGCTAGATATACATAAGAAAGCTAACACCTTTTATTCCCAGAGAAGATGCTGAGTCTTCCAGAAGGGGAAAACATGATGAGAGCAACATCAACATCACAAAGTACAGAAAGCTCATAAGCTTTCTTGATTAGACCATTCCTTCTTTTTGAGAAAGTGACCTGCCTATTTGTTGTATTCTCAATTCTCTTGATCTGAAGCTTCACTCTTCCCATATTTCTGTCCCTCTTCTTTAAATATCTTAACTAATAAAAACAACTAATCTATTATGATTGAAACCCTTTTTTTCCCTTTTCTTTTTTTGGGTAGGATACTAAATATAGTATTATAGCAGAAGAAGTACTAATTTTCTCTGTACTAAAAAGTTTCCTGATGATCAGCCTGGATGAGTTGAGTATATATTTGTCTCTCTAAAAGAAACCTGATGGAAATATCCCTTCTTTATTAAAATAAATAAATATGTTCATATGTGTAATACAGAGAGAATTATATTGATTGCAGACCCAAAGTAGTTTGAACTCTCTGAAGATAAAGGGAGAGGAGGAGAAATCTGAAAAGAGAATTAGAAAGAAGCTGGAGAAGGGAAACGTGGAAAATAACAATAACATTAGAGAAGGATTTTGGCATTGTCAGGCAATCCAACAGAAGATGACGAGAGGTCTTTGATGAAAGATATAAAATAGCGGTGTATTTCCTCATCTGTTAAGTTATCAATCTTCAATTGTTTTAGTCAGCCATGACTGCACCACCCCCCCCCACCACCAAAAAACTACATATAGTAAATAATTCTAGACTGTAATTTCCTTTGTAGGTAGAAAGTGTACAAAGGAATAGCCTATATATGCCATGTGGTAAGAAACAAAAAAACGTTGCATGGGGTTAATTTGAGCATATCATGCACGTGGAGTTTGCATATCAGGCCACCATTCTATAAAATAGTTTATTTGCTTATATTATTAAACATGATCTTTCGACTCATATTTTCTGTATTTCAGTATGTTGAGAAGTAAAATATTATTTTTTATACTAGAAATGCGTGTGGGTGTTTTCTGGAAACAAAATTAGTTCTCCTAGTAATGGAATCGTCGAGTATATATGTAATTGCAGTGAAGTCTCTCCAAAAGGATTTGTGGATTTGAAAAAAAAAAAAAAAGAGAGAGAAATTAGTGTTCATATCTGAAAATCTGCTAGCAGATGCTATATACGTCAAGTGTTGCTTGCTTCGTACAGAAAAAGCACGAGATCCCTAGATGAACAGCGCCCAACGAATGCATGCGTAAATATATGTATTTAATATCGAAAAATTTGACCAATGTATCAAACTATTGATCCAAAATGTATAAGCGGCCATTTTTTCGCTGGTCTAAATAGTAGTGCCTGATCAGTTTAAGCGTCTGTTTCGTTCTGCTAGTCGCAAAACAATTTAGTAACCATTTTTCACAAAACGTTGATATAATATAACTAGATTATATTGAGAACCTTACCAGCATATGCAATGACGCTCTGAATATACAAATTGTTGTTGTATAGTAAGGCTATGTGTAAATAATTTTTTCTTATATAATAAAGCTATATAAATTTGCTATTAAATACGTATATAATAAGGATGTGTTCTTTAGTTTTACTACATCTTTATCAGACAATTAGTTCGTCTAAGGATTTTGGATTCTCTTTGGTTTTTGTTTTACTTTATTTTATGTCTGTATGTGAGTAGGATACAATCATTCTATTCCAAGACAATTAATGTTGTTGCTTGGGATGAATATGTCGGTGTTGCTCACCCACAGTTTTTGTTAGTTTAATGTTATTTTAAACCATACTCGGTGCCTGGAACTCAATTATATGAGCGAGTAATCCATTTTCAAAAGAAATTAAAACTTTGAATAATATTATGTGATCTTGAAGTGATGAAACCATGGTTTAGACATGAATTATAAAGATATTATTTAAAGATTAAAGGATACGTAACAAAGTTAAGACGTTTTCTCTCCAATGTAAAGAAATACGGTTTATATACACAAAACAAAAATACCTTTTCAAAACAAAAAAAATGGTGGATGAAAAGATTCATCCATCCTTAATTCAAGTTGAGTACATGTTCGATGTGTGTATCTCACCTTGGGCATTGGGACACTTTGGCCGTCAAAACATCTTCAATGTGTAGGGAATAGTTTTTTTTTTTTTTTTTAACTTATTTATTGATGTTTAGAGGTATCTAAATTATTATAATGAGGTAAAGTCTATTGAAAAAGGGGCTAGGATAATACCATTAGAAAGAGACTTTATTTGTGTGCACTTCTTGCTCGGTTTTCTGTATAGGTCGATGATAACAGGCTTTCTGCTATCTGTTTAATCACCTCGTCAGTTACCTGCTACTTTTTTCAAGCTTCAGCTACCTCTTTTCCCCGCTCGTAATAGGAATCAAACTCTCAACTTAACAGTTAAAGATATAACGCCCTAGTCACAAGGGCATGCCTCATTTTCTAGGAAATTAGTTTTATTCATGTATTGCGGAGGTCAATATGTGGTGTTGTATTGTATGGACGAAAAATAGTTACTTTTAATTTCAGACGAGTAGAAGGTACAATTTTTTCCTTTACCCCGGTGGAAGTAGAAGTATGGTAGTAGTAGTAGTAGATAGTGGAGAGGAAAAAGAGGTAGATACTGATTTCATGAATCCAAGCAAACAAAAACTGAGTCATCAACTCATCATACCTCCAAATATATCATAGAATTCCGGTCCACGCAGTGGAACAGTACTTCTCCACCCTGAAGCCAAACAAAAAACTTTTTTGTTCTTGCACTGGTTGGGGAAGAGGACTGAAGAAGAGGGACGCGTGTGTTTCTTTGTTTCCTCGTTTTCTTCAAAGCCTCAAACTCCGCTCCCAACTCCCACGCAATCCCACAAAAACCTGATCTCACAGCCACCACTCACCACCCTGCTGCATGCATGCATGGCGGCCCACTTTCCCGGTTTCCTGCCTTTTGGATCTCCTGGAAACCTACTTCAGTTCCTCCGCCCACTGTTTCCTGCTATATAGTAGTAAGATTTTTCTTTTTCTATTTCTCCTTCCTTCAAAATATATATACAGTAATAAACTATTTTTGTAGAAGACGTGCGTACAAGTGTTTTCAGAATTCGTTCCAATCAACTATACGTACTAAATTGCATGCAGATTATGAAGGTTTCCAAAAGAATATGGAAACAACAAATATCTGAATGATGATCGGCTTGGCTAGCTTCCTAAACAAATTCTAATGGCTTTAATTGTTAATAACTCAACTCAGTTTTAGCCTTTTAGGGACACAGTTATGAGGTTGGATGCGGATTGCGATACGTGCATGAGAGCTAGTTTGACTATCCAGGGATTTTTTTCATTTTAAATTTTTTGGATCAAACTATATATCCAGGGATTTGGAACTTGTTGAGTTTGAATAAGTAGTCAAAGTTTATTATAAGGGACAAATAATTATTAATCATCGAAAAATGCCACATGAATTAATGCGTTATAAACTTATAATTAGGGCCGGTCGAGTAAAAATCTTAATCTTGTGCCTTGGAGGGAATCTAAAAATTTTCGGGAAAATTTATTTTCATTTATTCATTATGAATATACAACCAGACAAAAAAAAAAAGAAAAAAGAAAGAAGAATAAAATATAGTTATTTAACACATGGGAACTCCTCCATTTGTCGATCTTTTCAACTTTTTCTCTAAATTAAGATCAAATAAAAATCAAATCCATTGCAATCTTTTCATGTCCGCGGACTTTCTTTTTTTAGTTTGATCGTTGGCAGTTATGTTCCTATCAAAAAAATTGTGAATTGGAACTTGGAAATTGTGCAAATAAATAGTTTTGCTTCAGTGGTAAAGTGCTATATATTTTTTTAGCAATCCTCCCTACACATAAGGGAATGCTTCTATTTTTGTTTATAGACATCTCTAAAAAATCTATTATGAGAATCCTAAATGTAAATCCTGACTTCATACCCGATTTAATCATCTGAACTTATCTATCGTGGTTTAATATCTCTTACTAGTTATAGTTTACAGGTTATTGTTACGGATTGTCGGGTTAAACATAAAACTTGAAACTATGGACTTTCGTTATTGTTAGAGATCAATATGGGAATTGGAAGGGGGACGTTTCGTTGCGATTTTCAAATAAATGATAATATTGTTCCACTATGTACGCTGAGTTATGGGACTTTTAACTTTTTTAAGGATTTAAGTTGACATGGGAGAAACTTTTAAGAACATAGTGGCCGAGTTCAAATAACTAGAGAGTGCAGTCAAGATGGTGTCGGATCGATGAGCAAAGACCGTTGAGTGTCTTAATCGTAGCTAAAAAAGAAATAGTGGTGAAACTGAAGCATATTATTGACATCTACACAAATTTCACTCTTGATTTTATTGCATTATCAAGTTGAATATTTACCCAATAGTAGTGGCTAGAATAACTAGGTATGTTACCATACGGAATGATTTCATGGGTTAAACATGAGGGGTGGTTTACTCTGGCACTGCAGAAGCATATTTCACTCAAAATTTATCCAAATGTGACTATTTGATCAATTTAGTTTTAATCAGGAGAAAAACTCTAGTATGTACATGGAGTATACTGGCATCGGACACCAAAATTAATATTTTAAAAAAACGTTAAAAAAAAAAATTGAAAATCATACCTGAAGTTGTTGTCCTGGAGAAGCCCAAAAAAAACACAACAAAATTTACTTGGGCCCAGCTGGTATAATCCATGCCTACTTGAATCTGGGGGCCAGAACTTCGTTTTCTGAAGGTTCTTGGTCACATGAGTCATTAAGGAGGACTGAGGACAGATAATTGACGATCCAATAATAAAATTTCAATCCAGATGGTAGTGCAATTGCACTATCCCCCTCCAATATTAATTAATGAGATTATGAAACAATATTAAATCCATTTTTTTCCTTCTTTTTTACATCGCATTGCCGTGCCACCTAAATTTGAACTATCCTGCGTACAACTACCATTTTGAGTTGTTTGGCTGGCGCAAAGGTCAAAATGGTTGATGAGAATCAATCTATCACATGTATTTAACGTCTTATACTTTTCTCTAATCCTTAGTACTGCATGCTGCATGCTTAAGTCTTGAATCTAAGATCAGTGAGATTCCAATTTCGTTTGTGTAAACCTTCTTAATGGTGACAAAAAGCAAGCAAAGGAACCAGATTGAGTTGACATAGTTTCGGCTTGTGTAAATATTGTAAAGTCAACATTGTATAATGTATATGGTCAATAGGGTAGCAATTAGTTTTAACTGTAAATAGAGGGTCAGAAACATAAATATTGAAAGTGTTAGTCGGTTCAGACAGTTGTAATTAATTGGTATCAACACCTAGATTAGGGCTAATCGTTACAGGGGACATTTTCACAGAAATAATAGCTTCCGCTTTAAGCAAACAAATTCCTCTATGATTCTTGTTCAATTTTATCAAAATTAGGTCTCGATTTAGCACGCTTGAGTTCGCATCATACAAATCATCTTTTCATATTTTCCAAATCAATGAGTAGAGTCACTGGTAGAAGTATGAATGATGGAGAATGTGCAAACAAGACTATGACCTGTTGTTAATCAATTGAAATGTGTTTAGGCAACAGTATTTGTTTTGGCGGGGTCTAGTTATTACCTATTCGCTTAATGAATTTAATATTTTTAATATAATTAGTGAACATTTAGAATTAAACAATAATTTTTATGAAAAATGCTGGTGACGAGTTTTAACTTTTAAGCGTTCATTTGTTTTGGTCATTTGGTGATCATAGAAGCCTTTGCATCAAATACGATTTGGGCAATGGAAGAAGTGATTATGGTTATTGACAGCGGACATCTGAAAGAGGAAATATGGTAGTTGGTTTGATTTTGACAAGAGAGTAAGACCTAACATTCAACTTGAAAAAAAGGAAAAAGAGAATCACACACACATACACAGCCATAGGCACTGACGTTCACTTACAAACAAAACCTGAGCGATCAATACAATTCCCAAATGCAACATTTCTTTGGCATCCAAAGCTACTGGTCATGAGTTTGCCTCAATGATTTCATCTACTTCTCAGCAATTTATACACTTAGTACAGCACCCTAACAACATTATTCGTCATTGATTCCTTTCCGCTTGTTACATTGTCCACAAAAATATATGCAGAGACAATCGTCAAAGCCTTAACTGATGATCAATATCAAGGTTATGTGATCAAATTCAAAGGTACGTTTATGATTGTCATGATTCTGGAATTGATAATGGGTTTCTTTTGTTATGTTGGAATGAAAACTGGGGAGGGAAAAGAATGAAACTTATTTCTGCCAAACATTTCTTCAAAGTTCTGGTATTTTTGATTTCATTGATTGTATCTAACTCAGTGTTTTGTTTTTCCTGCCTGCATTGATCTTTCACCTTTGGCATCTTTCACAAGATTTGGATTGTTCAGGTAGAAAAGCCATTAAACTGAGCCAGAATTTAGAATTGAAGAAGATGATATGTACAAAGTTGGCATCAGCATCATGGTGGTGGTAATGAATCTTTAGTGTTTCTGCAAAAATGTACGACGAATCGAATGCAGCGAGAACGATTTCAGCAGGACGCGGATCATGTCACCTCAATCTTCTCCTCTTCCCAAGCACCCAAAATGTACAAGTCACTACACCAAATAATGTAATCTAAGTATTAGTCTTCTCTGTGGTGTTTACTATTTATCTTGATGGCTGTATTATTAACAACTTCAGCTCATACTAGAGTTTATTACTTGCAGGGTGATATAGCTGGATTTGAGCCGTTCATAATTCGTCTTATAATCTACATTGTAGTTTTAGGTAAATCCATCATCATTGACAAAATTTCAATTCAGTCTTATCTTGTTTGATTAAATTAAATCCACATGATTTGATGGAGTAACCCTTTTTTTTTTTTTTGGTTTTGGGCATCCAGGATTTCTTGTCATCATCAGTTTTCTAGTGTTAAAATTGCTTGAATCATGCGATGATGACGAAAACCTTGAAGCAGAACATAGTCGTGTAACAGGGGTACCAACAGAGACAGCACCTCTGTTGCCACAACAAAAGGCCTCTAAATTGCCTTATGGAACTGATGAAGATGATCTGGAATCAGGCACAAGCAGCTCCTCAGAAGACCTGTATGATGGAAAAATCTGTGCTATATGTTACGACATGCCACGGAATTGCTTCTTTGTCCCGTGTGGCCATTGTGCAACTTGCCAAGACTGTGCTAGAAGGTAAGAAAAGATGTTGGTTTGAAGTAGAAGTAAAAAAGCCTTTTTGAAAGGATCACTTTAATATTGTGTATATAACTATTTGCAGGATTACGGAGGTGGACAACAGGATTTGCCCAATCTGCAGAAGGGTCATTCATAAAGTGAGGAAAGTGATTATCCCGTAGACCTAATTAGCTATGGAGTTTTGAGCTCATTTAATCAGTTTGGTGAGCATCACATAATATTTCAACAAGAAAGGTTATACTATTCAGCTATGATAGCAACAATGCCCTGTATTACCAGACCATTTCACGAACGTCTATTTACATTTCCAATACAATCCAAGTGCAAATGGCAATACAAAATGCAAACTTAAAAAGTTGTTCACGCCGGCCAGTTTCCCCCGCGAATGAAACTGCTTCCACGATGCTACTTACAAACTCAAGACGGTTTGCACTCAAAAGCGTTGACAATGTCTTAAATCTTTGACACCAGAGAAGTGGCCTCGACCAATCACTGAGGAAAGGCGATCATCTAAACCTGATGAAAATTCCCATTCTGCGTAAGAGGACGGTAATTGAACTATTTTAGAAATCACATTACGTTTTTTTTTTTTTTTGTTTTACAATTTGCAATTTTAGGTGATTTGAATATGTTTAGCGGTCAAATCGCGTTAATTAATTGTAGAATTCCGATTACCATTTGAAGCCATGTGATCATCGTCAATTGCTTTACCGGGTCCATAAGGTTTTGTTTCTGACTTCTATTATAAAAAAAAAAGGGCAATAAAGTTCTATTCAATAAATGCTCGAATCTTTTGAAACGTTCCAACTTGAATTCAGAATGAATGGAATCAGTATGTTTCTGACATTTCTGCGTACCAGAACATAAATTAGAAAGGTTGCCGGAGATTCCTGATCGCAACCAATCTCAATGGAGACTTCAGGCTTTCTCTTCCTCCTGCTTGTAACATTCTTGTGTTTACTAGCCGATCCAATTGTCAAAAAATTTCGAAATCTTCCACCAAGTCCTTCATTTGCCCTGCCTATATTCGGCCATCTTTATCTGATCAAGAAACCAAAGATATTCACTCACCTTGCTGATAAGTATGGTCCTATAGTACTGCTGCATTTTGGTTCTCGTCCTGTTCTCCTTGTATCCTCTCCCTCTGCCGTTGAGGAATGCTTCACGAAAAACGATATCATCTTTGCCAATCGGCCTAAATTTCTCGCCGGAAAGCACCTAGGTAGGATATGATTACACTACTCTGATCTGGGCTTCGTATGGTCAACATGGGCGCAACTTGAGAGAAATAGCTACCATTGAAATCTTAGCTAGTAACAAGGTACAAATATTTGCGAGTTTACGCGCCTATGAGATCAAATCGATGATTCAGCGCCTGTTTTTGGCCTATTATAAGGCTGGCGACGAGTCAGATGGATTCGCTACAGTGGAGATGAAGCCGGCCTTTTTTGAGCTGACTCTGAATATTATGATGAGAATGATTGCCGGAAAGCGATACTATTGTGATGAAGCTCAGAAGAGGGAGAAAGCCATAAGGTTTCGGGATCTGATTCAAGAGAATGGTCAATTGAGTGGCGCGTCGAATATGGCGGATTTTATTCAACTAGCCAGATGGATCGGCAGCCAGGGGAAGCTTGAAAAGAGGCTAAGAAACTTGCAGATGAAGAGGGACAAATTCATGCAGGATTTGATTCAAGAGAGAAGAGAAATATTGAGAAATTCTAAGATTATTGATGGCAGGACCATGATTGATGTTCTCTTGTCCCTCCAAGACAATGAACCAAAATACTATACTGATGAAATGAGGCATGGCTCAGGTAATTAATCCAAAGATGAAATGATACTGTGAACTTACATTTCTCTTTTTTACATTGAATACTTCCACATATATGACTCGAAGCGTATGTGCAATAAAAAAATTGTACTTTTCGTCCCAAAATAAATACTCTTGTTTGTTATAGAGTATTTAGTATAATGAACTATACTAATTTTGGGACGGAAGGAGTAAGTTTATCAACTGGAAAACGGGTTACAAGAGGGAAAAGAAAAAAACGCTATGTGTATACTTAAATAACCATAATGCAAGATCTGCTTTCATTTTAATGGATAGGTGATGCTATCAGCTGGAAGTGACACAACTGCTTCAACAATGGAGTGGGCATTTGCACTTTTGCTCAATAACCCAGAAGCTCTTAAGAAGGAAATTGACCATCAAATAGGCAAAACAAGGCTAATTGAAGATTCATAGATGAAACTCTGCGTTTATATCCAGTGTCAAACCTCATAGCACAACATGAATCATCCAAGGAGTGCTATCGGATTCCACGTGGTACATTGCTATTCGTGAATTTGCGAGCAATGCAAAATGATCTAAAGTATTGGGACGAGCCCACAAAATTTAAGCCGGAAAGATTCTTGAATGAGACTAAAGAACAGGTTGGGTTTCAGTTTATTCCGTTTGGATATGGAAGAAGAGGGCGTCCAGATGAGAATTTGGGAAGGAAGGTTATTGGATTGACATTGGGCTCTCATTCAATGTTTTGAATGGGCTAGAACCAATAAAGGATTAGTAGACATGAGTGAAGGCCCAGGTGTTACTGTGCCTAGAGCACAAACTCTGCTGGCCGAGTATAAGCCACGACCAGAATTGGTCGAAGTCCTTTCTGTTTTAGCGTGATTCGGTATTTTCAGTGAAAATGTTACTTAATCTATCGAATTTTCCATTTGGAGGAACATGTTGTTTAGTGATTTTTGTCCCAAGAATTGCGAGAAAGCTGCAAGTTCCTTTACAAAATGAAGTACTCCCACTTGTTCTTAATATAATTCATTTTGATTTGTCCTAGAATTCATCTATTACACATTTTTCTCATTAAAAAATACGTACTATGTGAAATCTAAGATAAATTAAAATGCCTTATATTAAGAATCGAAGGGAGTTTAATATAGATCGCCATCATTCATACTTTGTAAACATTATTTTATATTGTATCTCATGTTTTTTAATGTTATAATAAGTTGACGCCTCCTAAAGTAATATTAATTATTTTCGAATTTTCAATATGTTTGATCATTTGTTGAAACGTGTTATGTTTTCTAATTACAATTTGGTTTCAATTGTAATCCGACAAAGTCATTGACATCAAATGGTTAGCAGCAAAACTTGATTCACGATAGTTAGTGATGCATCCACAATGACAATATAGCATTAGCACGTTCTTTGAAACACAGGAATGCAAACTAAACAATCCTCCGACCTAAGCCTAAGATGGTATCCAAATTTGTTTTCCATGTAAAATTAGGGTTTCCATTTCAAATAAAATTGTTATCAAAATACGGGAAGTTCACGCAAAAGTAATCCCGTAAATTCTGATAACGTCTCTTCCTCCTTTACTTTACTTAGCAAAACGGGAAAGGGAAAATGGGTCTTTTTATCCCAAAGTTTAGGTCACACCATCTAAAACATTCCAAAGTTCGAGAACATGTCATTTACATCCTAAACTTTTTAAAAATATGTTACATTAGGATATTCGTTAAATTTTTAACTCCAGTTAATTAATTAGTGGTGGTACTTTATTCTGTTTCTCCTCCCCTAATTCTTTTAATCATTTAACATGTTCCACTAACTCCCACCTTATAGGAAAATAGCTAAACCTAATTTGATCTTCACATCATCCATTCTTCCCTTGTTTAGAAAAAGAAAAAAAAAATCTAAGATTCACCTTCTAGATTGATAACAATCATGAGAGGTTTTGTGTGTATCCTAATTAGAAAGTAAGCCTTATTTCATTTATTTTTTTAAATATGTAGCATCATTGTAAAAATTGGTGTTGTAATTGATGCAGAGGTATGCAACTTTTTTGCTTGGCATGGACCAAATTTATCAAACGCAACCATGAAACTTTTTTTGACTAAATAAGGGGGAAAAGAAACTGAATGAAATATCGCCGCTAAAAACTTGAAAAAATTAACAAATGTCCTAATATTACATATTTTTGAAAAGTTTGGGATGAAAATGACATACTTTTAAACTTTGGGATGTTTTAGATGGTGTGACTCAAACTTTGGGATAAAAAAGCTCATTCTCTGAAACAGGAAATATATATGTTCCCCCTCGAAGCTAAGGGAATTATGAGTGAACCAAAACTATCGAAAACGACGTACGATTTACTCAAAGCTCATGCGATTCCATACCTTAGAAAAAAAATATAGGAGATATACAACGACGTCGTTAACTAGTACTCTCTCCGGTTTAAAATATAAGTTATTTTAGACTTTGCACGTAAACTAACGAGACAACCATCCAACAATTAATTTATATGTTAAATATCTGTTTTACCCCTCATTAATTACATTAGAACTATAAACAAGATTAAATAAAAAATGAATTGACATTATTTATTGAGAGCAAATGTGAAAAAGTAGTCATTAATTTGTCTAGAATTTGTAAAATGACCATTTAAAAAAATCTCTCCAAACCTAAAATGATCTACAAATTGAAATGGAAGGAGTATTTTGTTCCATCAGTTGATTGACTCGAGTCCAAGCCCGGCTTTATCATAAAGCAAGTAAATCTAGCCCCAAAAATTATTAGTAGTGTATTATATGTTTATAAAATAATTTTAAAATTAGTTAAAGTAACAAAATTTGTGATAGAAAAATAAAATAACTTGGATATTTTGAAAATATTAAATTAAAAATTTTAATTTAAACATTATAATAACAAAATTGTATGCAGAAGAGGTAAACAACAAATTTTATAGGATGAAAATTAATACTCCTTCCGTCTCATAATTAATGTCCAGTTTTAATTTTCATTTCTAGTTTAAATTGTACTAAAAATGAAATCTCAAAGTGAATAATAATTTTTGGACGGAGGGAGTATAATTTTTTTTTTTTTTTTCACATAATTTTCAGAGGATCTCAAATTCCAATCTCGCTTTGGGCGCTGCGGACCTTGAGCTGGCCCTGCTCGAGTCCTCCATCGACGTTGACCGGAGTTTTCTATGTAGGGGTCAAACATAACTGCGACGTACTATCTTATAGTACCCTAAGTTCTAGATGACGGATGGGTTTATATCTTTTTTCAGGATGGATATGCAAAAAATTTGTCGTCCCCGCATAAGTTTGGTCTCATTAGACTTTTTTTTAGTCGTTACATGAAGAAACGATTGTGAACGGGTATCTTTCTTTTTTTTTAAAAAAAAAAAAAAAACTAAATCAATATACTAAAATGGATCGTTAAATTATGTTGAGAAAATCGTATTTGGTAATGAAAGTAAAACTATTGTCTTGATATAATCCTTACATTGGATTTGTTGAATTGCGCTCCAGAAAGGAGGGACAAAATTAAAATAGGTCACCAACCTCGGCGAACTTTGTGTTACGTACTTTATTATTGTTTCCGCAATTCAGTTTCTAGAAATTAAAATGGGAATTCAGGCTCCTGAGATCTCGGATAGATCCTCAAGGATGGTTATGATAGAAAAAGAAAGAAGAAAACACTATCAATGAATATATGTGTTGATCTTCTGGAAGAAGAAGATAATAAGTTCAGCCGCCTTCATTGACAAAATTAATTAGGGCTTGTTTGGCTGTTTTTGTTTTTATTTTAGTTTTTGATTTGGATTTGAGACTTGATTTAAAATGTGTTTTGAAATAAATTTTAAAAAATTGTTTGGAAAATATTTTAAATAAAATATATAATATTTTTAGACTACTACCGGACCACATCTATTACCGGAATCGCCGTCAGACCGCCCACCACCGTCGCCGGACCACCGTCGACCGGCCTGCCGGATTCCGGTCAAATTCCAGCGAGATGGCCGGACTTTGGCCGAAATCTGGCCGGAGGGCGGTGGTCGGTCCGGCAGCGGCTGGTGGCGGTGGAGGTGGTCCGGTGGTTGTGGATAAAAATTGTGTAAAAATAATATTTGAAACAAATTTTAAAAAATAAATTAAAAAGTTATTTGAATAATATTGATATTTGTGTTTGAGAGGTATTTTAAGAAATAAAATGAGACAAAAATATAAAATTAATGTTGGCCAAACAAGGCCTTATATTCCTCAAAGTGCACATCTATTGTATTTTTAGCTTTGTCCATATATACTACTCATTTAGTGGACAGACCATAATTCAAAAAGTCTGCTTTCGTGACTTGTACAAGCAATTCCTTCCAATCAAAATCAAAAAGATCCACCCGTCAACCAAAGTCGCTGTGGTGACTCCTTCGCCCTTAAAAATAGATCGAGGGTTTGAAGCTCGCCATAAGTATGAAACAACCTTAAATACTTTAAGTGAACACCCTGTAAATACACCAAAAAAAATAAAATTCTAGCCATCGAAATGACTATAATTCACTGAGGGGGATTAGTTACTGTTATTGACGGTGGATACCCTACAAATATCTTAAAAAAAAAAAAATCCAAAAGATCGGTTCCGCAAATTCACTTCCACTGATTACCGTATCCAGTGATTCCAGAGACCTGGTTGGCCACGGTTTAAAGCTGCTGAATAAAGCCATAGAAAATGTCAATTTGGGATTTCCGTGAATTAAATCTGTAATTAGGACCGGGTAGAAATCTTTGATTTTTCTAAACAGGTGTTGCTCTCTATGAATATACTACTCCATAAGTATATACTTTCTGACTAAATTTTGGGCAGAAATCTTGGTTTTGTGTCATTTTCAGATGGCTTGTGTGTCTCCTTGAAACGTACTAACCTCTAGGCATCTCATTGAATTTGCCAGCAATAATATCACGACAATTTCGTGGCTGTGATAAATGTTTTGTTCGCCGTCCAGGGGTCCCCCAAATTATAATTTCGTAAGGATACTGCATAATTAATGTCGAATGTCATTCTGAGCTTAAGTTAAAGACATTCATTCACTAACTCGTTTGCTAAATTGCTTTTCCCATAATGTTTTGAAAAGATAATAACTACTATGAAGCTGAAGAAAGGGGTACATATGAAAAAGTACATAAACACTTAAACAGGTTAATTAGTTGTAAAGTAGGAATGAATTGAAATGGAGATTTAAAGCAATCAACCTTTTCCCGCGTGAAATGAATCCCGGTTTGAGGAAAGCAATCACTTTTTGATGGGGATTTTTTTTTGCTTTCTTTCTTCTTTTTTTTTTAATTAATTTGGGAGGAACTCGTCAAGCACGAGATCGATATATAAAGTTTTGGATCTTGTTGAAAAATGTGTTAATGTCACTTTCACATTTTCTATATTGCGATAATTGCATCATGCGTGAAGACACTACCTAAACTTAACTCAATGATAACGATATTCAACATAATCTTGGAAGCAACCTTTGATGTCTGAGATGGTTAAATAGGCCTACTAATTTACTATTTTCTGTCCCAAAATAAATTTTCAGTTTTCATTTACATTTTTAGTACAAATTATTGTACCCAAACAATTATCTTGTTAGAAGAAATAAATTATATTGTGAAGTTTGGATCTTAGTCGGGGCTAGAGAGCTGGTGAAGTCTCTTGCTAGATAACCGAGCGAGAACATTATCCGTAATTCAAAAACAACTATTGTCGCTAGCTGGTGAAATCTCTGTTAGATAGATGAAAAGTAATCTATAAAAATTTCTAGCAAAACAATTAATAAATCTGGACTTGAAATGTATAAAACATTAAATTGCGTGACAAAAATGGAAAAAAGACCTCACCCTAGTCTATATATATGATAATTATACTGTTAACTCACACATTAATTTATTGATTAAAGAAAAAGTGAAATCGGCGACTTTCTCTTTACAATCAATTGTGAACATGTTCATCCACATTTATCCAAATCAAATGAGAAATGAATTTACAAAATTGGACAAGACACCCTCTAGAAGATAGATCCCCCACCATCAAATCCAGTACAAAAAATAGTTACTTAAAATACACTCTCCAATCTCCATCGAAATCCAAAAGAAAAGGAAAAAAAAAAAAAAAAAAAAAACCTCTTTTGAGAGAGGGGTCAAAAGTCAGAACGTCAAAGAGCCGTGTGAAATCAAAGACCAATTTATTTTCCTAAAACCATATAAAATTACTACATTCATCATCCATTAGTATTTCGGTATTTCCTACCTTCCATCCAGCAAATTTTCGTCATCCATCAATCATCAATGGAGGTTTTCTACATGTACCTCCCACTTTTCATAGCTCTTTACATCTTCACAAACCATTTCCTCCGCAAAATCCGAAACCTCCCGCCAAGCCCTTTTCCTAGTTTACCGGTACTCGGCCATCTTCACCTCGTGAAGAAACCTCTCCACCGTGGCCTAGCCAAGATTTCCGAACGTTATGGCCATGTTCTCCTCCTCGATTTCGGCTCCCGTCCCGTCCTCGTGGTGTCATCCCCTTCCGCCGCCGAAGAATGCCTCCACCGGAATGATATCGTTTTCGCAAACCGGCCGGATTTGCTCGCCGGAAAATATCTGGGCTACAATTATACGTCGCTAGCATGGTCGCCGTACGGCGATCACTGGAGGAATTTAAGAAAGATTTCTTCTTTGGAGATCTTGTCTTCCCATAGGCTCCAAATGCTTCACGCAATTCGAGTCGATGAAGTGAAATTGTTGATGAGGAGGCTTTTTTCGGCATCCCAAGCGAAACAGAGCGTGGATATGAAGTCTATGTTCTTTGAGATGATGTTGAATGTCATGATGAGGATGATTGCCGGAAAAAGGTACTACGGCGAGAATGTTGAGGAAGTTGAAGAGGCAAAGAGATTTAGGGAGATTGTTGAAGAGACAATGAAGATTGGTGGGGCGTCGAATATGGGAGATTTTTTGCCTATTGTGAGGTGGTTAAGATTAGACAAAATGGACAAGAAATTGAGGGTTCTTCAGAAAAACAGGCATCAATTCATGCAAGAGCTGATCAAGGAGTTCAAAACTAAACGACCGGAGCTGCCTAATACTGAAACTCCCGAAACAGGGGAAAAGAAGAAAACTTTAATTGAGGTTTTACTAACGTTGCAAGAGAAAGAACCAGAGTACTACAAGGATGAAACCATCGGAAGCCTTATGCTGGTAAGTTCAATGTTCTTAACCTTTTTTTGTCCGTCAATATTAATTGAGTTCATATACTCTGTTCTTAGTAGTACTATCACATTTTAATTTCATTGACATGTCGGAAGATTCTTATTCAAAGAACAGTAGAATATAACATTTGATGGAAACTTAAGATTCACATATAAGATGATTCGACTTAGATGCCCAGCAGAATAGGTGGGATTGTTCGATCCAACCGTTTTTTGCCGATCCTATTACAAAAATTGAAATTCAGAGAAAGCAAAAAGAGAAAAATGATGACAAAGAGAGATGAATTTTCAAGAATTCGACTTTACGAAGATTATGAGGCTTATACAGAGCGATACAGAGCAAAGCTCTGTCAAAAAGAGAGTGAAGATTTCAAATTAAGACTTAAGAGCAGCTTTGTACTTCCAGAGTTCCATTGATTTGTTCTTTTTTTTTTGTCCCGAACCAGAGAGTGGAAACGATGATGAGTAGAAGAAACAAACAAACCCACCCCCGGCGCAATGGGTTAAATCCTCTCGTAGTATTTTCACTCGAGATTATCAAATAAAAATGTAGTAAAGTAGTTTAGAATATTTTCAAAGAAAACACAAAAATAGTTGAATCGTTAGAATATTTCAGGTTTCAGCTTCAGCCGCTAAAGTTCGAAAATGTATTAAATTTCAATTTCTTAATTTTCTTACAAAGTATTTTTTCAAAAATATAAATTATATTAATATTTATATACTTTTACAATTTTATGATTCGATCCTACCGATCCAAACTCCGATCCGATCATGTACCCCTAAATCGGTTACGATTTTGAAAACCTTGTGCCCGGATTTAAAAGTGTAATTGTGTTAAAAGTTTTCCTTGGTTTTGTTGTTCATTCAGTTGAGATAGTTGTAAGTTGTAAATTTTAGTAAAAGGTAGCATCACATAGTGTGAACAGAACGTGTTCGAGTAATGTTGACTAGACTAATCCATTTGCGGAGTCTGCGCATTTGATTTAGCTGATGCATTACTCCAAAGAGCAACAAGCGTCAAGTTGATTGACTTTTAGTAGCGAAAGTCTGATGACCAGGTTTGAATAAGATTGAATAATGAATAAAATAAGTAGAAATACTTTGCTGACTTTGGAAATGATGTGCTTAAACACGTGTTGCAGGTTCTATTATCTGCAGGAACAGACACATCAATGGGTACAATGGAATGGGCATTGTCTTTAATGATAAACCATCCATCTACTTTCAAGACTGCGCAGGAAGAGATTGACAAAGTTGTGGGAACAGAGCGTTTGTTAGACGAATCAGATGTAGCTAACCTTCCTTATTTACGTTGCATTATAAATGAGACATTGAGAATGTTCCCACCAGGTCCTTTGTTAGTACCTCATCAATCTTCAGAAGACTGCACGGTCGAAGGTTACAGAGTCCCGAAAAACACTATGTTGCTAGTGAATTTGTGGGCTATTCAGAACGATCCTAAGCTTTGGGAGGATCCGAGAAAGTTTAAGCCAGAAAGATTTGAAGGTGTTGAAGGTACAAAAGACGGTTATAAATGGATGCCTTTTGGTACTGGCAGAAGAGGTTGTCCGGGAGAAAATTTGGCCATGCGTATGGTGGGATTTGGGTTAGGCTCGGTTATTCAGTGTTTTGACTGGGAAAGAATTGGAGAAGAAATGATTGATTTGAGTGAAGGTCCTGGGTTGACCATGCCAAAAGACAAACCTTTGATTGCCAATTGTCGACCACGCCCAGAAATTGTTCATCTTCTTTCACAAATTTAAATCACTATATAGTTCGAGTTCAAATTAATCAAGCTTCGATACCATTAATGTGTAATATACAAAAAAAAAATAAAAAATCAATCTATGTGTTCTGTGAGGTAGCTTTTTTCCTTTTGGCCAATCGAGTAGCACTTGTTTAGCTCCTGTTGACTTTTCTTGTGCAAATTCACATCTATTGGTGAAGAAACGAGCATTATAATTTAGCCACTGTATTTCATATATAGTAGTTACTGTTGGTCATATACATTGGGAGTTTGGCACATTATATATTTAGTTTTACTAAGAAAAGAAACTTATTCAAGAATTAGGTTTAGAAATGTCACGTTCCCATCTCAAATTCATTGGCCTAGTTTTCTTTTTTCCTTTTTCTTTTACATAAAATACTTCACATAAATAATTTTTGTTTGTTATAAATCTCGTAAAATGATGTAAATAATAAGAATTGAATCTTGTCAATAGTATTTTATGGCGTAGCTGAATTAATTATCCGTATCAAGTGTGAGAAAACTATCCTGTTTATTGTTGCATTTTAGTCCGATTAATATGAGTTCTAAATTTTTCAAAACAAAAATCATGACACTCGTGGAACAAACCAACATATGATTCATTTTCATCAAATTCTTAAGCAAACTCTTTAGCTTCGTCTTTCCATCACCAACCAGATTCTGATCATATGGCTTCTACTAACTATATTTGCTCATGAACTCTATTCACTAATTAGATTCCTTGACACCAAGAAGAAGGGTGAAACGCCTAACCAAGTAGTCAGGAACTACTCACTTGTAAGGTGGTTTCAAAAAAAAAAAAAAAAAGTTGTTACGAACTATTTCAAGCCAACTTCTCTAGAAACCTTTCAAAAAAATCAAAAAAATTCTCTAGAAAGTAGGAATAATCAAAAGTTATTTTTTCTAAAAAGTATTGATAAAGTATGTAATCCAGATGTATCTTCCTCTTCTAGTCTTCTGAACATAACCTTCACAACTTAACCAGCCATATTCTTCAGAAGCTTCAAAACCGTCCTCCGAACCCTTTTTCCAGCATTCTCATTCATAGGCTTTCTTTTGATCCAATTTTCAGCACTTTCATTTTCAGTTTTTTTTTTTAAAAGAATTTTTAATTAATATATTTTTCATCTAATATGGTTTTCTACATTTCTAATACAACTTTTTTCCAGTTCCTAAATGAAAAAATGTACATCAAAAAAACATTTTAAATATAGGCGATAATAGTGAAATCCAAAAGGAAAAAAAAGATACAAATAGTAAAAAAAATAATAATGAGAAAGAATTGCAATATTAATGAAATAAAATCAACAATTCCCATTCTTAATAACAGCTAGTAACAATAGACAATTGTTTTTTTAATTATAAACCTGTACATGTCACGTACTCACGTCCATCATTATCTCGTTTATAACTACTAAAAATTCTTATTTTTATATTTTTTTTACGTACGTATCCGGTATCCAGCCGCTATCGTTACACTGCTCACTAATCCGTATTAAAAGTTTTCACTACACCAATTATTTTCATCCTAATTTGAAGCCCAACGAATTTCTCAAGACCCTATAAATATTCTTACTTTTCTTACATTCACCATCAATTACGGTTGACCAATCCCAATCCTGCAGATTTCTTCATTCATCAATCAATGGAAGTTTTCTACTTGTACCTCTCAATTTTCATAGCTCTGTACATCTTCACCAACCATTTCCTTCGCAAAATCCGAAACCTCCCGCCGAGCCCTTTCCTCAGTTTACCAATTCTCGGCCATCTTTACCTCGTAAAGAAGCCCCTCCACCGTGGCCTAGCCAAGATTTCCGACCGTTATGGCCACGTGCTCCTCCTCGATTTCGGCTCCCGCCCCGTGCTCGTGGTGTCATCCCCGTCCGCCGCCGAAGAATGCCTCCACAGAAACGACATCGTTTTTGCAAACCGGCCGGATTTGCTCGCCGGAAAATATCTGGGCTATGATTTTACGTCCCTAGTATGGTCGCCGTACGGCGATCATTGGAGGAATCTTAGGAAGATATCTTCTTTGGAGATCTTGTCTTCCCACAGGCTTCAATTGCTTCACACGATTCGGGTTGATGAAGTGAAATTGATGCTGAGAAGGCTTTTTACGGCATCCAAAGGGAAACAGAGCGTGGAAATGAAAACCATGTTTTTCGAGCTGATGTTGAATGTTATGATGAGGATGATTGCCGGAAAAAGGTATTACGGCGAGAATGTTGGGGAGGTCGAAGAGGCGAAGAGATTCAGGGAGATTGTGGAGGAGACGATGAGGTTGGGCGGGGCGTCAAACGTGGGGGATTTCTTGCCTGTTTTGAGGTGGTTAAAATTGGAAAAAATGGACAAGAGATTGAGGGTTCTTCAGAAAAATAGGGATCAATTCATGCAAGAGCTTATCAAGGAGTTCAAAACTAAAAATCTGGAGATGCTCGGTAATGATTCCTCGGAAACAGGGGAAATGAAGAAGACTTTGATTGAGGTTTTACTAACATTGCAAGAGAAAGAGCCAGAGTATTACAAGGACGACATCATCAGAAGCCTTATGCTGGTATGTTCACTGAATCACTCGTATATTTTTACTCTTTTTTTTATTTTTTTTTTCCTTCAGATCTGTTCGAATTAAGTTCATAAACTCTGTTATTAACAGCATCACATTTTTTAAAATTTTCCTTGAGATGTCGGAAGATTCTGATTCAAAGTTTTGTTATCCTCTGCACTAAGTTGTAAGGATTTAGTTAGATAATATTAAGAATGAAGTAAAAGATACCAATACCATAGGCATTGTGTGAACAGAACTAGGATCATCATATTCGCACATTGTTTGAATTTGACTAGACTAATTCATATGCGGAGCCAATTCGCATGCCTTGGCATTTGGTTTTAGGGAAGGCGTGACACTGAAGACCAGCATAAGTCTTCTAAAAAGGAAAGTCTTTGTTTTTTAATATAAAAACAAATGTCAAGTCGATTGGCTTTAGACGCAAAAGTATCACGACTAGGTAAATAGATTTGAACAAGACTGAATTTATGAATAAAATAAGCAGAAGAACGTTTTCTAATTTGGAACTAATTCATTCATCCTCAAACACGTGTTTTGCAGGTTCTATTATCTGCTGGGACAGATACATCAATGGGAACAATGGAGTGGGCATTGTCTTTGATGATGAACCATCCATCTACTTTGAAGACAGCACAGGAAGAGATTGACAAAGTTGTGGGAACAGACCGATTGTTTGACGAATCGGATGTAGCTAATCTACCTTATTTACGCTGCATTATAAACGAGACGCTAAGGATGTTCCCAGCAGGTCCTTTGTTAGTACCTCACCAATCTTCAGAAAATTGTATGGTCGGAGGTTACAGAGTCCCGAAAAATACGATGTTGTTAGTGAATTTGTGGGCTATTCAGAATGATCCTAAGCTTTGGGAGGATCCCAGAAAGTTTAAGCCTGAAAGATTTGAAGGTGTTGAAGGTACAAAAGATGGTTATAAATGGATGCCTTTTGGTACTGGAAGAAGAGGTTGCCCCGGGGAAAATTTGGCGATGCGTATGGTTGGATTCGCATTAGGTTCGGTTATTCAGTGTTTTGATTGGGAAAGAATTGGACAGGAAATTATTGATTTGAGTGAAGGTCCTGGATTGACTATGCCTAAAGATAAACCTTTGAGAGCCAATTGCCGACCACGTCCTGAAATGGTTCATCTTCTTTCGCAAATTTAAATGGCAATATAGCTATAATTCGAATATGTCATATTAAATTCGGACACCATGTATAACATTAAAAGGATCGATTATGTGAAATAGTATTTCCTAGAATTATTGATCACTTGTATAGTGCTTGTAAAAAGGGAGCCAAATGGTTTAGCTCTTGCAAAATATGCACCTATGGGTGAAAAAACACTAGATTCTCTTTGTTTATAAACGAAATTCCAATGTTATTTACAATATACACTTTGAACTAAGTTTACATCAAAATTTGTAGTATATAAATAACATGAAAGGAGTATTTCATAATTATTGCCGCCCTTTTTGAAAAAAAAAAAATTAAAATTCTAACCTTAGCTTATTCCTATTTCTTAATATTTTTTCATTAATGAAACATGTTCTATATTCTAGAACTAGTTAGAGCTCGTGGACGTTGTTAGTGTATTCATGTTTTGCTTTAGAACTCAAAAAATCTTGTCGATTATAAAAAATGAATCTGTCCATGTTCAACAGTTGTGATGGAGGGTAACTGAACTATTCTTTCATTAATGAAAAAGCAAACAAAACTCAAAACAAACACATACAAAAAAAAAAAAAAACTCTGTTCTATAGTAAAAATCATATTTAATATAATACGAGCCACTATCACTTTTAGGATAGATCATAGATGGAGAAATTTTCCTTAACAACCTACTATTATTATGGATAATTAACCAAGCGAACGACAATACTACAGTACATGATCGTCACATTTTGGAAACTCTTTAGCTTCTCTATTATGTCTTACAATTTATAACACCACATTACACTCCTATAACATCGTGTTCAAGTAAATTCACTAATCTTTATAACCATTTCGAACCTTGTGTTACGAAAAATGGTAATTAATTAATCAGTTATCGAATTGGTTTATCTAATTCATGTTTATCCACCTCCAATCCCGATTCAAAAGCTCCCAGATACTTTTTTTTTTTGAAGGATGCTCCCAGATACTCTTACCCATACAAAAACTAAACCATTAGCATCAACCATGAAAAAAGTAATTTAATCAACGACAACGATTTATAATATATCTTTCTTTTTTTTTTAAAAAAATTATGTACTAATCTTGAAAACCGGCGCCCAGACAGTTCTCTTCCATAAGTTAAATTTAATATTCTTTCCATATCAAAATAATTTACTTTCTGTTTTATATTAATTTAATAGAAAAAATAAGATGAATCATTTTTTTTTGTAAGATAAATCATTTTAGGATATAAAAAAAGTACAACAACTTTGTACGCCTTCATCTCTAAACCCAAAATATTATCAATTTTGAAGCCATCGCAGTTAGCGCATACCATTGTTAAAACTTAAAATTAACGCATAAAAATTGAAGAAGTTCATAATAACTATGGCGTTGTACGTATTTGTAGTTTTTGAAATTGAGTAAGCAAGCATTAGCTCCCCAAATCCAATGATTCTTTGATTAACGGTGAAAAGAAAATGGAAAAGAAGAGAAAAACATGGAAGGAGAGTAAGAACTAGGCATGCATTAACTCCCAAAATATACCGATATATTCTAAATTCTAAATTCTTTTTCTTTTTTCCGGAAACAAGGAGGATTGCATTGTCCATAGTCCATGCTAAATTCTTTGACAAAATGCCAAAACAGAAACATAGTGCATGCTAACTACTTACCAAAACAAAATCTAATGTGGTATATCCACCCTAATAATATATACTCTTTTTGTCTTAAAATATCGATTTTATTATTTTCTCTGTCCCAAAAAAGTTCCCATTGAGTCTATTTGAATTATTTTTTTGGGACAAAGAAAGTATTGTAAATAGAACTTTTGCTAATTCTTATAGCATCTACATAAACAATTTCCTAATACGATTTAAGAACCCTAGTGTCCGAATTACAATATGGTTCAGAAATGTGGAATCAGAAACGTCAATCGAAGAAACCAGAATGGCTAGCTTTGAGTCTATATTTTAATTCAGTTTAGTAGCTTTTAGTTGTCCTAATTAGTTGGTTATTTACTTTGAATTAGTGATATGTCAAGTTCTAGAGTCGTGGTTAGACAGTTTGTGGCTTTAGGAATATTGAATCTCATTTATGTGTACTCTTCGAACTCTGAAGCATTTTGAAGCAAATTATCGAAAGGTTTCTTCCTCTTATTTATGAAGTTCAATCCCGACTCGAAAAGAAATATTACACCTAGGAACTTCATAGTCTCCATTTGACCAAAATTTGATCATGGAAACTCTTTACTTGTATCTTCCTCTTCTGATCATAGCCCTTCATATCTTAACAAGCCGAATTCTTCACAAACTTCAAAACCTTCCTCCGACCCCTTTTCCATCACTACCATTCATAGGACACCTCTACTTGATCAAAAAGCCAATCTACAAATCTCTATCCAATCTCTCAAAACAATACGGCCCTGTAATTTCTCTCCATCTGGGCTGTGTTCCTGTCGTTGTTGTTTCATCTCCATCTGCAGTTGAAGATTTCTTGGTGAAAAACGACATCATTTTCGCGAACCGCCCGAAGACTTTAAACGGAAAGTACTTCGGTTACAACTACACCAGCCTCGCTTGGTCATCCTACGGTGAACATTGGAGAAACCTCCGAAGAATTTCATCCCTTGAAGTGTTGTCTTCCAACAGAATACAGTTATTGTCCTATATTCGGGTTGACGAGGTTCGATCCTTGATCCGGAAACTCTTTAAAGCTGCTTCTACTCAATCATCAGCTGATATGAAGTCATCTTGTTTTGACCTCACTTTTAATGTCTTGACGAGGATGATGGCCGGGAAAAGGTATTATGGAGGTGAGATTAATGTTGAGAAATCCGATGAAGCAAAAGCTTTTCATGAGATAACATCCCAAGCGGCGAGGCTGAACCCGACGGCAATGGTTCTTGATTTCTTGCCATTTATGCGATGGTTTGGACTATATGATGTGGAGGAAAAGATGAAAAACATACAGCGGAAAAGAGACAAGTTTATGCAGAATCTGATTGATGAGATTCGTGACATCTGTAGAACTGATAGTTCAGGCAAGAATAAGACCATGATGGGCACCTTATTGGATTTGCAACACCAAGAACCTGAATACTATTCCGATGAAACCATAAAGAGCCTCATGTTGGTGAGTTACTTACTTACAATTTGTTTTTATTAATTTCAGATTTTATTTATTTATTTATTTTGGCTTCGAAACATAAATCAATGGTAGTAAGAACCAAGACATTTTGGTTAACGTTACTCCCTCGTTCCACACAAACAAAGTTCCATTTTGTTGATATGTCGACAAAGTGAATCATCGATTTTAACTCCGTTCACACTTTTTTTTGCTTCCCTTCCATGATTTGTTCATAGTAAATGCCAAGAATTTTGGTTAACATTGCTCCCTCATTCCCCAAAAAATAAGGTCTATTGTTGAGCTGTCAACAAAGTGGATAATCACATTTAACTTCATTTTTCATTTTAAAAAGGAGGTTTGGTACGTAGCGTGCTTGCGTACATAATCACCTAGGTAATTTTAATAAAGAACCAATTGAAGGGGGAAAAAGATACACAAAGAAAGGGATGTTAAGCCAAATTAAAGAGCTAATTACATCATACAATGTCTGTTTATAGATTAGTGGGGTTGACTTCTTGCATTTATTTATTTGCTGGCTTTTCAGCAGGAATTAAAAATGTTATTTCTTAGTATAGTACTTCATTTGTTCCAAAATAATAATTCATATTGCAATTTGTAAGAAATAGTACAATCCACAAAAGATGCGGACTTATTTTCTGACGGATGAAGTAATTTTTGTAATCTTACTTTTAAACTATATAATGAAACAGATACTGCTTCAAGCAGGATCAGACACAACGGCAAGGACAATGGAATGGGCAATGGCACATTTGATAGACAATCCAGATGTTCTAAAGAAGGCGCAATCCGAAATCGATGACGTCATCGGTGGTCAAGATCGTTTGATTTTGGAGTCTGATCTTGTTTCACTTCCTTACATTCGATGCATCATTAACGAAACTCTGCGGATGCATCCACCAGCACCATTGTTATTGCCTCATAAAGCATCCCAAGATTGCATGGTCGGAGGCTTCAAAGTCCGGGCCGGAACTTTACTGTTAGTAAACCTATGGGACATACAACGGAATCCCAAGTATTGGGATGATCCGGAGAAGTTCATCCCTGAAAGATTTGCGGGTTCAGAAACTATTGGCGGTGGAAAAGAAGAGTTGAAGTTCTTGCCTTTTGGTTTAGGGAGGAGGGGATGTCCTGGGAATAATTTGGCTATACATGTTTTGGGTTTTGCATTGGGCTCATTAATCCAGTGCTTCAATTGGGAAATGGAGGATGAAAAGCCTATGGACTTGAGTGAAGGTTTAGGAATGCCTATTTCGAAGGCTCAGCCTTTGGTAGCTAAGTGTTCGCCCCGGCCTAATATGCAAAAACTTCTCTCTTCACTTTGAAGTACTCAAAAATATTGTTCACATTTAATACAATTTAAATTAAAAATTAAAAAATTTAAACTGGATTATTATTTTGGGGTAAAAAAAAGAAAACTATTTTGTAAGGCTCAACCTTTGGTAGCCGAGTATTTTTACATTAGAATGAATCTTAACCGTTCGTAATTATACCATATCTTTTGGGATTCATCCATTTAAGCTTAGGAGATAATTAAGATTCAGTCACATCATTCCCTGATAAAATTTCTTATAAATTTTTTCTGCATGTATCAACACTCAATGTTTAAGGATAATAATTTGTGTAGAAAAAATTTACAGGAATTGTAACATAAAATGAATCTTGACCGTCCATACTTATACTTTAACTTTTGGGATTTATCAATTTAAGAGTTAGTAGATAATTAAGATTCATGCATGTCATTCTCCAATAAAATTTTCCTCCAAATTTTTCATGTATTTATCAGCACTTTTTACTTAAATTTCTCCCGTCTTTGGAAACCGGGTTCCACCTTAAAATAATTATACAGCGATGTGTGTTTTTTAAAATCTAAAGTCTCCATTAATAATCACCAAAATACACAATGAGAGATTGAGTTGTTGTATATTATTTACAAATGTTCTTCTGGTTCCAATGGATTTAACTCAAGTTCTGAATCAACCAATTTGTGAAAGACCCCAACACCAGTAAAGTAAACGTTGTTGAAACGAAATAATTATTACACACTTAGATTTACATTGTATACTCTCTATGTTTCTAAATAATTGCAGCGTTTAAAATTTTAATTTCAGTATAAATTATACAATAATGAAAATCTAAACATGCATTAGCTCCAAAATCGTCCAACTTTTTGGGCCAGAAAGGAGTATGTTTTAACCGGAATTCCAACGTCTTGTACTTAGCTCTCTAATACCTCAAATCAAACCACCATTAAATGCTTACTCATCTTGGGGTTTCATTATTCTCTTATTGTTAGTGTTTAATCAACTATATGAAACAAGATGACAGGTTAGTGGTTAGGTGTTGTGTTTCATGGTATTAGACCTGATTCAATTTCCACCAAATAGTATATAAAGAGGGGTTTTATCACGTTTAAATGAGGTCCACTGAGTAGATTTTTTATTTTTATTTTTTAAAAAATTCAACCGTATCAAATATTGTTCCGATTATCATGGAGGAACTAATCATATTCATAACAAAACGACCTCTACAAACATCCGTACGTAGTATTTTGTAATGCCTGGTTTTCAATAGAAAAAACCAGCCAGAGTGATCCCGAGCTGCCGATGCCAGAATTAGCCCGTCCTAGTGCTTCATTGAAACTTGAAAGCACCATATGAATTGATCTTTAGCCAAGGCGGAGGAAACAAATACTCCTCTGTAAAAAATAAATTTTTTTTTGAAAAAAAGTCCACATTTAATTTTATAAATTTTAGAACTCAATGTGAATTTTTTTTTAAGACACATGTAATATCTTTTTATACGGGTGTCTCAATTTTTTTTTTGGTGCAATTAAGGAGATACAAATCATGATATTAAAATGTGGAAGTGAAACTTGATGATATTGTCTTTCAAAAAAGTTGCTTCTCTCTTACATTGCCATAAATCATACCCAGGATCTCTTGTCATCATCAGTTTTATGGTGTTAAAAATGCTTGAATCATGCGACGATGACGAAAAACCTTGAAGCAGAAACATAGTCGTGTAACAGGGGTACCAACAGAGACAGCACCTCTGTTGCCACAACAAAAGGCCTCTAAATTGCCTTACGGAACTGATGAAGATGATCTGGAAGAATCAGGCACAAGCAGCGGATATGATTGGAAAAATCTGCGCTATATGTTACGACATGCCTCGAAATTGCTTCTTTGTTCCCTGTGGTCATTATGCAACTTGCCAAGACTGTGCTAATACGTAAGATGTTGGTTTGAAGTAAAAGTAAAAGCCTCTTGAAAGAAGTAGATGCAAATTGTAGATTTATGGTCACTCACTCATGACCCTTAAATGTATGTTTCTCTAAAACTGGTCACAGTTTCAACTCTCAAGGAATAACTTTTAAACTAGTTGTAATACAAAAACATCTACATGGACAGATTTTAAAGACAATATTGGTAATTGGCCAGGAACAGGTTCCCAAAAATATATATAATGGTAAAGGATGGAGGTTTACTTCCGATGAAGCTTCTCTGAGATAAACTATAACAATGTACTAATGGGAAAATGCGTCCTAACTAATCATTCACAACAATTCCAATTCTAAAGCAAAACTCTGAAATATAAGAAAGCAGTGTAATAACAGTAAAAAGGTTTATTAATAGTGACAAATCACAAATCCAATGTCCATTGATAACCTTCATTACTCAAGAAAGGAAATCGGGCACCCTATTTGATGTTCACAAACTCTTATACCCTTGATCTGATTGACAGGAAGAGTTCACCCTTCCAGATTTTATATCATGTCTAGCAAAATGGTGGCAGTTATTGACAATTAATCCCCATAAAAAATCAAGAACTGAATCCCAAGAAAACAAATCAGTCGTTACAAGATATTTTAAAAAGAGGACACCGTTTCATGTCATTAATTTGGGAATCAGAATAGCTTCATATATCACCCACAATGAACTCCAACGGATCATAGTCAGCATAACCAACTATCATTACAATGGAAAACTCAGACTACACAGCGACACTCGGCAGCACTAAAATATTCCAATCATGCAAGAAAAACCCATGAAATCAAGATTAGAGTAGCATCTTCTTTTCTTAAGAAAGATTTTTCAAAATCAAATTCTGATAGACAAACACCAGAAACAGGCTAGACATGTAATGCTTTGCAAACAAAAATCACAACCAAAGGAAAGAAAAAACCTAAGCAACAGTATCCAGCAAACAGTTATGCATGGTGTCCAAAAAAAAAAAAAAAAAAGAAGAAAAATCTGTACATATGAGAAAAAGACAAGAATGAAGATCGGACCTGACCATGCATTTTACACCAAGACTGAATGAAGGGTAATTAGAAGTTCTCCCTTCCTGGAAAATGTCCAAATTACTAGCTGTAAAGATGTCCCTTATCTAAAGGACTTCAAATCAGTAAATAAAGAAAAGAAAAGAGGTTATGCAGGCATAGGTTTAAATATAATTCGGTATTAGTATCTAACGAGTTAAAAGATTGGTCACAACAGGTGTCCCAACTTTATAAGATAATATTAACCTTTACTTACTACTGAAATATGTACACATGAAACGAAGAACAACATCAAGATATCAGGACTATAAACTGTTCTACGTCTGCTCGTCCTTCAAGAGGAATCTAAGATTCTTCACAACGCTTACAGTACTTCTTGGAAATATCATGTTCAGCTTCATAAATACGATGCTTGACTTTGCGCACGGACGAACCACTTACCATACCAGCAAGCATAAAAAGATAACCAAAACCAACAGCGCCATCAGTATTCAGAGCAGACCAAAGTTTCGAAATCATGCTTCCCCGCCTGCCGCAACAAAAAAAAAAAAAGATTTATGAATTCATGGCTCCAATAATCATATCTGTTAGAGATAGATTTATTTATTTGTTAGACAGGGGGAGAGACTTACACAACTTTTCCGCAGAACAGAATGCGCCAAGGTAAATTCTGGAGAGGGGCGATAGAATTTATGGGAAGGGACTGCAACCCCAATCCACTCCTTCCATAGATTCCGGTCATGTCGTCCTGTAGCATAACGCCAAGAAATTTGATTTTGGAGAATGTTATTTGCAGCAAGTGTAAGGGGGAGGCTTTTGTGGTCCCGTCAAAGTCAAATGACAATTTTGGGCGGTTATACTATAGGTGCCACCACAACAATGGGTTCTTGAAGTGGGTGGATCACACTATTGTTGAATCGAGTTTGGTGTCCTGTTTTGCAAGAAGAAGGTTCGTGAATGGAGGTGATTTACAAACTGGAGCTATTCTGAATGGTGAAGGGAGAGACGATAATGAAGAAAATGTTGAAAGACAGAAGGGTAAGAGAGAATGTTGCAAATGCAAGAGTACATTGGAGGCCATTTTGTTTATTGTCGTTGCATGGTCAATTATCAATTTGATTGTTCTCCTAATGGTGTTGGTTATTGCTTTTAAACTCTAAACTAGAGTGTAACCTTTTACATCTTTGGAATTTCACGTATTTGTTAACGCTGTAATTGTTGTAACTATAATCGACTTGTTAGTTTTTTTTTTTTAATTTAGTTGTTAGGTTTCTGTTAGTATAGCTTAATCAGTTGGCTAGGTTTGTGCATTGTTATCGTCGAATTCAGTTGTTAGGGTTATGAAAATCGACGACTTTGTATGTTATTGAAGTTCGATGACTTGTTAAATCGATTCATTATGTTTTTGAAGTTTGGTACTTCCATGTAAATGGCGTATTCCAACTACATTAACTAATCATTGTAAACCAACTAAATTAAGTTAAAGTTGAATTATAAGGAAGTTACACCTAAGTTTAGTTTTGATTGCCTCAATGATATACGTAATCTGTATAGATTTTAGGTAAACATTTACCAAAAGTGTTACATTTAGGTAAACATTTAGGTAATCTGCACCTTAGGCAAAACCATTTGCAAATGTACAAAAAAAGTGCAGGCGTATATGTAAAGGATTTTAAGATATACAAATGCATCCGAAATTTCATTAGGGTTAAACCTGATAATGGCAGGCAAATGTCCAGAATACAACTCAAATTTAACAACCATCTCCACATAACAATTTCGGATAATGGAAGTGAAATTCCAAAATAAACCCAAAATGCAGTACTTAACCTGTTGTACTTAACCAAAATACTTAATTGTCCCAGGACCAACAATACTTGATAGTGTACTAATGCATAAAAGGTAAAAACAAAAGTGAAATGACAAACGGCTTAGACTTTGTTAGATTTTGGTTTCTTTCTTTGTGCTGGGCACTCTGCATCCAATACGACGGGCTCAACTGCAGTCTCTCCAAGTCCATTATTCTTTTTCTTCAAAGCATGAGAAAATTTCAGTCTGACACTGCACTTTCTTTTAATGGGAGTACTAACGTTTTTTGTTGCAATTTTCTTCTTCACTATGTAAGACATTGATATATAGTTTCTTAGATGAAAATATGACCTACCATAAAAATGGAACATTGAAAGGAGTTCTTCTTT